CCTGCGGCGGTGTCTTGATCCACCGGAAATGGAGCAATCTCTCTTCGAACGCGCTATGGAGAGCGCTGTCGAGGGTTGATGCGATCTTGATATCATCGTCTTCCGCGTCAGTCAACAATGGATGTTTGGCCTGTTGAACAGCAGTTGCCACCAGTTGATCCAATGTACTCAGGGTGTCGATGCGGCCAAAGAGTATGGCTAGCAGCTCTTTTGAGCCGCTGCGTTTGGCCATGCCCGTCATACAACTATGCCAGGAAGCTGCGTCTTGCCGAACCTGCCAAAGATGGTCCATTGCTTCGTCCAGTGACGTTCTGATAGTGTCCTGTACATCCTGTAGATTGACGCTCATTGTATGGCAAAGGTATTTGGACCGGGAGGAGCGAGTGACGAGGGTGTTTCCTTCAATATCGCTATCGGTCCCTAAAAGTGGCTCACGTTCCACTTCTGCCCTCGGCAGGTCGTTGATCGTGTCCACAAAGATGCCCAGGCACCGGTAGATCTCTCTTTGCGCTTGGAGCTGCCAGAAAAGCACATTAGGAGTAACGATCTTCGGTTGCAGACGGGGTGGCACGTCGTACTCAGTGAGCTCGGTGACCGCACCGGAGGATCCGTCGCCGAGGTCTAACCTAGATATTCCTTCTACCATGATTGGGCGGTTTCCCCCTGCCCACAAGCTGAGAAGTAAATAACGGCCATCTGAGGGACGAAATCGATGGGGCGGCACCTTGCACCGCGTTTCTAGCAACGATGGTAGGTTGTCACTTTCCGAGAGATCAACGTAGTTGAGTGCCGGACAAAAATGAAGAGCGGTTGCATGACCCTCTTTAACCCTTTCTAGGTAAGAATAGATATGAGTGTCTGGAACCTCAGGAAGGTCACATTTCCGGAAAATTTGCATCCTGGCAGTGATGTCCAACTTGGCCCAGATCTTTCGAAAAGTGGGGAGTGATCCTTGCTTCTTTTCGATTTTGTCCAATTGCTGCAGAATCTGCGTCTCGCGTAGGGAAACAGCCCGCCAGAACTGTTCCCTATCCATAGTAACTGAATCGGATGAAGTTAAGTCGATGCCGGTGGCGCGGTTGATTTCCCCCAGCCGCTTTTGCCAGTTCGGCCCAAAGAGACGGCCAAGCGAATGCCGAAGCGTGTGTTCTGTGAGCTTGGTATTGAAATCCTCCGCCTCCAAGTCTGATACGTCGATCTCCAGCAGCTCGCACCTCTGGGCTGTCTCTTCGAAATCTCTACGTAGGTGGTCTTGTGCGTTCGCGATCCAGTTTTCCAGGTATTTCCAGTCGATTTTCTTCTTCGACGTTTCTTCCAGCTGCTCGACTCGCTTCATGAGCTGGTTAAATGCGGGACCTGTCGAAGGCTTAAGAAGCGCGGCCGTTTCGATGGCACGTTTCACATCCCCAAGCCTACCGAAAGAGGCTTGCACCATTCTCAAGTCGTCCCACAAATCGTCGTATTGGCTCATTTGCCTATTGACCAAATTGGCAGAGCATTCCGAAGGCTTGGGCATTGTTGTTCACGTTATCATTAGCGGACGTTGTTGATTGAGGGTGATGAACGAGCTGTTCGCAGGCGATAAGAATCAAGAATACCGCAGGAAAAATGACACAACGAGGAAAAAATACCTTTCGTAGCAACATTTGTTGTTGGAGAGCTGGCGTATTTAAATAAGGGGTTGGCCCACTGATTAGGCACGATGAAGTGGCCCTGTGATCACTGTGGAGCAAGCCCCTCAGCCTGATGGACCCCGCTTATCCACAGAGACAGTAGCGTCACTCTTATGCGAGTAAGGCTATTCCGCACCCACACGAAGGCTATCCCGCACCCATACTAGGCCTACTCAAGCAAATAGTGGGCTGCACGTGACTGCACAGCCGCAGCAGCCACCATTGACCCGGAATATGTATTATTCCGGCAGTTTCTTAGGAAAGCGCAGCCTCCTCTGCTGCACCTTCCACTGCTGCACCTTCCACTGCTGCACCTTCCACTGCTGCACCTTCCACTGCTGCACCTTCCACTTTACCCTCTTCCACAGCGCGCTTTTCAGAATCAAAACCACGACTTCGGAAGCTAGTCTTTGCTCAGGGGAAATACATCTCTAGAGCCTATATTTTGGTGCTCGGAGAGGTACTTATCCTGCTTCAAAAATGACCAAAAAAGGTGGTGTTACGCGTCAAAATAGAAATAATGGGAAGGCGCGCGCCCATGGCCTCACATGTGGCTGCTACGGCTGTGCAGTCACGTGCAGCCCACTATTTGCTTGAGTAGGCCTAGTATGGGTGCGGGATAGCCTTCGTGTGGGTGCGGAATAGCCTTACCCCTCTTATGCACGTCAAGGGCTTGTGATCAAATTTGTCCCATAAGACGTGACGAAATGTGCGTTCGCTCTTTGGTCATCTTTTTCTTATATCTTACGAGCTGTGTCCATTGTCGATGCCAGCAGTGGAAAGCGGTTGTCAAATGTCTCGAGTAGAGGTCTATTTTATCACCCGCTTTGTCATATTATGGGCAAGCTTCCATCGCACCGTAGTGACCCCAGAGGCGGCTTCGACTATGATCGGGCGGTTTTCGGTGAAGCATCCCTAAAAGTGCCGTACCGCCCGCTGCGAATTATGTCATGGAGTACTATAGAGCCGTGCGAAGGATATCTGCAGTTCGGGAAGTAAGTTCGATGCGTCGAGTCCTTGACGGTCGAGGGCAACATCTTCGGAACGCAATCAGGCGTTTGAAGGCGTTTGGATACCACTGCAGTGCCCCAGCACGCACCCAGACGCTAGAACAGGGCGCCACCAGCATTGAAGGTACCCAGTACATTCATCTGTAGATATAGGAAGGAGTCCCAAAACCTTCCGTACGACATGTCACCGAGGCACGCAAATCGGACTCCGGTCTTCTTTGACTGCCGTTCGGTACCTTTGACACACAATCATAGCCCGTATTCTCAGCCGTTCGGCCTCGTAAATTTTCATTCGGGCTCAGTCTCAAGACGATGACAAAGGATTGAGGCAACAGGGGCACAAATGAGAAGAATAATAAAGTGGCCAACACACACTCTCATTGACGTCTTCAGAATACGATTCCGCCGGCGGAGCCTTTAAATGCATCCCGATTTTCTTCAATTGGACTGTGTATAAATGTGTCGAGCCTTCCTATTGCTTACACGGTGCTTCAAAACCATGATAAGTACTGTGCATAAGCACAGGCACGTGACGGGTAGGTGCAGGGCTAATGGCCGTCTCTTCGGCGTCACCAGCAATCGGAGGACGTGAAAGCGGGGTCAGGCTGGCCGTAACACCGACAACTGCTCTTTGCCGACAACTGTTCACCACATTCATCCGAAGATCCCGTCTCACGACCTAGAGACCCACCTTATTATCATTCGCTCCCTTTACCTTCCCTGATTCACGTGAACGATGTCGTTCAAACCCTCGAGCGCAGACATCGAGGGAGTGATTGAAGATTGGTGTACGTGTCTCTGTGCAAGAGTTTGACTTTTCGCGACAACGGCTAATCTCTCCAGGCGCTGGCCAAAAGACAATCACGGGAGTAAAACGGGACCAGATAGAGGAGTGGTTCAAGTCTCTGGGGTCGATGAGGGTGCGCGATTACTCAAAGAACGTGGATGAAGTTTGGAAATTTCTTGAAGGCTACCACGATGATCCAACGCATACCATAATCGCCATTTGCCGTCTGCTGGCGAACAACTTCTTACCGACGCGAGACGATCAACCAACACTGCTTGAGGGATGGTTTTCCTCTGACAAGGGATGGTTTATCTCTGATCAGGGTAGTGACCTTCTTCGTAAATTAGAAGAAGCAAATAGTGTTGGAGCTCAGGCAGTCGTGGCGGCGGTGCGGAAGCTGCTGCAGTCAAAGATTGAGGATCAGCAGCTCCAGCTTCGCGCGAGAAACCAAACCGGACACAAATTGCCGGCATTATTGGGGGAGTCCTCGCCACCATGTTGATCGTGTTGGTCATTAGTGTGTGGACCTTCGTCGGCGGCGGACCCCTTCGAAGCAAGATGAATTGAAGACAGGCTCCGTCAGCGAGCTCACACATTTCCCTGGCAGACTTGGGGTACTACGTATCACTAATCCGGACTAATGCCTGACTAGGCGTGAGCCCCTCCAACGATAGCACTTAGACGATGGACTGTCATGACTGTCTGATCAGAACTTGGAATTTTATGCTTTGTCACGAGACCAACGGACCCTGCTGACTCTACGACAGTCGGTGATCAGACATGTCTCACGGCTAACTTGTTGTTTTACATGTTGAAGTGTATCAGCTCGGTCTGTATTCATGTTGTTTGATCACTCGAATCGGTTACATCGACTTCCCTCTCGCCTAATTTTTCTTGGCATCTGCTGTTAGTGAATGAATGAGTCTACCACCAGATTACTAACAGCCGAAAACTCTTCACCTCTCCTCGCCGGAGCCCGCATCCGCGATGGCCTCACAGCCACCGCCGGGCACCGGACTGATGTCGGTCGACACAGCTGACCCCGAACTGGGCTCCGGGACACCTCCGAAGCCGAACCCCACCACAAGAGCTAAGCGACGCCGCGACACCGAGGCTCAGCCAACTCGGCCTAGCCTAACGGGAAGCCAGCTTGACGCCACCAACGACGCCCCTCCCTCGGCAAAGGGGCCTGCAATCTCTACAGCAGCTGCTCCGACTGGGTCCGCCACAGGGTTCGTCTTGACAGCCCTAGCAGAAGAAGCTAGACAGTACGAGGCACGAAAAGACGTCTTTCTGACCATTGCACAGTCTGTCGAACGCCAGCTTCGACGATTCCAGAAAGCAGATCGCGAAAGAAGCCACTGCCTATGTCATCCAAGCCCTCAAGAGACTGATCAATCACGAGACAACCCCAGCAGCGGCTCGGAGTTGGGCGGCTGTCGCCGCACCGATGGCGGGCAACACCACTGCGGCGACCCGGAGCGGCCAGAGCTCTGCTCGCCCGAAGCCCCCACTCCCGGCTCAGGATCGGCCGCAGGCGCAGTCGAAGGAGGACCTCCGCATCTTTGCCCGCGTCCCGGAAGAAGGCTTGGCCGCCGCTCGGAAAATCGCACCATTTGCTGTACGCCAGATCGTCTGCAAGGCCTCTGGCCTGGGGCTAGCGGACCTTCCCCACGCCTACCATATCGGCACAGGATACTCTTTGAAGCCGCTAAACAAGCAAACACAGGAAAGACTACTTGCAAGTAAGGCAAAGCTAGCGGAATGCCTCGGCGCCCCTCAAGTCGAGACGCCTATCAGGTGGCACACTTACGTTGTGCCGCGATGCCCAACAAAACTACACAGCATTGGTGGGGACGTCCTGGACCCAGCCACGCTCGTTGAAGATGAGGTTTTCGCACAGACAGGACAGAAGCCTGTCCTTGTCCGACCCTCCCGCGTTGGGCCCAACCCAGTCACGAACGAAATCTCTTGGCTCATATCGTTCATATCAGAGGTCACGCCCTTCAGGCTCTTCAACCAAAGCGGCAGATCTCTGCCCGTCAAGAAACGAAGGACGCTCATCCGACACGACCCCGGCTGCCAGGGCCACCACTCCAACCGGTTCTGTGGACGACGACCGATCTGCAGCAACTGCGGAAGACCTTCCGACTCGCACGAGACGGGACCTTGCATGGCCAGGCCCCAGTGTGCCAACTGCTGCGGCCCCTTCCAAGCCAGCCACACAGACTGCCCAGCGAGGCCCTCGGTCGTAAACGGCGTCGTCTCCCTTCCCGGTCGAAAGGAGCGAGCTCGTATCCGGAAGGCCGGCCAGAAAGTATCGGACACTCTGTACAAGGCTGCTCGATCCGACAGCAGCCATGAGGCGGCAGGCGTCCCCACCCCTACCAGCCAGAACCAGCAGCCCGGCGCCAAGCGCGCGCGCACGAGAACGCCCTCCGCAAGCTCGATCGTCTGCCTCGGCGACGGGAGCACTGACAGCAGCAGCATGGGCGAAGACGAGGCGGACGAAGCCGAAGACTCTCCTCACAATACTCACATCGACCGTCCCGTGCTACCCCTGCCAAGCAGGAGTCAACGGGCAGCACAGAAGCCAAACTACAATGTTGCGAATGCCTACACCCACCTCGAACTCGACTCGGAGACGTAAGCCGAGAGCGGCGGCCCCACGGATGCTACGCGCTGCGCAGGGCAACGTCGGAAAGATTTCCCCGGCGCACACAGCTTTCCTGCAGCTCTGCTGGGAGGCTCAGATGGACGTGGTCCTCGTCCAGGAACCCTGGACGGGCTGGAAGGACGGTAACGTGCAACTCAACACACATCCGGGTTTTGACTCCTTCGTCCCGGTCGACTTCTGGGACAGCGAAGGTACTAGACCAAGAGTTTTGACCTATACACGTAAAGGAATAGGGATGAAGGTGGAGCAGCAGAGGCCCGTCCACACGAGAGACGTACTGTGGCTGGTGGTCGATAAAACGACAACCATCGTCAACATCTACAGACAACCCAGCGATCCCCACAGCTACACGACAGAGATACTGCTGGAACTCAAACCTCCGGAACGAACCTTGATCGCGGGCGACTTCAACGCGCACCACTACTCCTGGGAGCCCGGGGCGAGGAACGGGAATCGGGTAGATGACATCGCAGGCTGGGCAGACGGTCACAACCTCTCTCTGATCAGCGAAGTTGGGGTGGCAACCCAGGTCTGCGGACATGTCCTCGACCTGGCTTTCTCCAACATCCCTTTTGCACACGCGCAGGTCAGCCCACAATTACACCCGGGGGCTGACCACGAGGCCATCGTCGCCGTCATACCACTACCCAGACGCCTACAATCACAGGGCGAGGACCGTCCGCAGACACGGCCACCGTCAGTGCCCGACTCGGCGCTGCCCCGGCTGAGAGACCTGATCAAAGGGGGGCAAGCTGCGATGCCCAATCTGGACGATCATCCTACTTCGGCAGACCTAGACGGGCAGGCAAGTCACATCGTCGAGCTCTTTTCCCGGGCCATTGAGGCGGTCGGCAAGGAACGAGGAAGAGACGGGGAAAGCGCGGCTTGGTGGACGGAGGAATGCGCAGAGGTCCACAGAGCGTACCGTGCTGCCCGCAACCAACAAGGCTGGGAGACGGAGCAGGACGCACATCTTTCTCTGAAGGAAGAGCGGAAGGCATTCCTGAGCATTGTGAGGAAGGCTAAGCGGGCGTACTGGTCCGAAAAGATCGATAGAGTCGCTTCAGACCGGGACCTCTATCAGATCATGGGTTGGCGGAAGGCGAGCCCACTGACCAGAGCACCCCCACTGGTTGTGGGCAACCAGACGATCGAGGATACCAACGAAAAGGCTCAAGCGCTTCGGGAAGCCCTGCTCGACAGATTTAGTGCGGAAGACGACGCACCGGGTGATCCGTTTGACGTACCTGTAGTCCCAAGGCGAGCGATTACTTGGCAGGAGAATATTAGCGGAGAAGAGGTGAAGGCGGCCACCCTAACAAAGACAACCATCCCTGGTGTGGATGGCATCACAACACGCCTCCTCCAGGCCTGCTGGGGCGTCATCTCAGAGCCGGTCAGGCTGCTGTTCCAGTCCTGTATACGGGTGGGCTACTTCCCTCTGCCTTTCCGCAGAGCTGAGGTGGTCATGATCCAGGAGGCAGGGAGAGACGCCTCCAAGCCCGGGTCCTGGCGGCCGATCGCGCTCCTGTCGTGCTTGGGCAAGGGACTCGAGCGACTGAGAGCCAGAAGGATGGCGTCTCTGGCGATTGTCGAGCGCATCGTCAGTTCACAACAGATCGGGGCGCTACAGGGCAGGTCAGCCGTCGATCTGACAACCTGCCTCACCCACGACATCGAGATGGCCCTCCTGAAAGGACTCACGGCGATGCTCCTGACTATGTACGTAAAGGGAGCCTTTGACTCCGTCCTTCGGAACCGGCTCGTGATCAGACTGCGTCAGCAGGGATGGCCACACGGCTTGATCAGACTGATCTTCAGCTTCTGCTGCAACCGCACCGCCAGAGTCCAACTAGAAGAAAGCACAACGTAATACTTCCCTCTGTCATGCGGGCTGCCTCAGGGGTCGCCGCTATCTCCCATTGTCTTTCTGCTCTATATCGCAGAGATACTTGAAGACGACACCGATGCGCGATTCGGGTACGCGGACGACATTACCATTCTGGCCACCAACCCCTCCCTAGAGAGCAACGTCGCAATACTCAACCAAGGCGCAGCCGGCATTCTCAGATGGGGCTAAGAGAACAAGGTCTCCTTTGATCCGAGCAAGTGCGAGGTCATCCACTTTACTAGGAAGCACGGCCAGCCAGCGGAGCTGCCAGACGTCAGGGCGGGAGACTTGGTGGTTAGGGCCTCGACAAAACCTGTACGCTGGCTGGGCGTCTGATTCGACAAGAGACTGACCTTCCGGCACCACGTCGACACAAGAGTAGCTACGGCAAAGAAAGCAGTTCACCATCTCAGGCACCTTACAAACACAAAGAGAGGACTACCAGCGGCCGCAGTGCGAAAAGCCGTCGTCTCCTGCGTACTGCCAACCGCGCTCTTCGGCGCCGAAACATGGTACGCAGGTATCACAAAGCCGGCCTCGAGACGCCAAGCGGAGACAGCCACGGCTCCGCCTCTCCAAGGAAGACCCGTCAACATAGGCCAGAAAGGGCTTGTGCAGAAGATCAACAGCGTCATTACAGCGGCAGCAAGGGCCGTCCTACCTGTCTGGAGGACAACGCCAACCAGCAGCCTCCTCCGAGACGCCGGCTTACCGTCAGCCAAAGTCACCTTGGAGGGCGTCCGCTTACGGGCCGCAGTCCGACTACAAAGGATTGATCGCCGACACCCGCTAGTCGCGCGGCTCTCCCAGCAGGGACAGCACCAGACGAGACTACAACGTACGGCTGAACTTCTGCCAAGATGCGGAAGACCAGCGTGTCTCCAACCACAGTACCTGCCAAGCTCACAGGATCAGATAGTAGTTCAATGCAAAGAAGAGGCTGCGAAAGCTTTCGAGCGCTGGCTAAAGACGGTACCGGAAAGCCATTCGATCGTCTTCTCGGACGGCTCCAGGGCGACGAACGGAGCCGTGGGGTACGGCTTCGTCATCTACCGAGACTCCAAACGCATAGCGCAAGGATGCGGCCGACTCGGACTGGCAGAAGTGTTCGACGCCGAGGTCGAAGGAGCGCGAGCCGGCCTCAGAAGGGCTCTGCTCACCAATCGCGGTCATCCAATCCACATATGTATCGACAACACCAGCGTTATACAAGGTATCCGAGGCAAGGCGCTGGACTCGTCACAAGAGGCCTTCCTCGAAATCCAAGAAGCAGCCAGGATTTTTGATATACGGACACACTGGTCTCCGGGACAACAGGGCATCGAAGGAAACGAGGCCGCAGACCGGCTGGCCAAAGAAGAAACGACACTGCCGGCGCGGATGGGCCAAATGGCAACACTAGCAGGCATCAAGCGGCTTGCAAGGGAAAAACTGCAGGGCCAGCACAGGAGATGGTGGTATAAAGAGCGAAGGCCGCGATACGCGGACTTGGGGCTTGAGGCAGCTCTATTCAGCCCTCCTGAACTGGCCTTGCCGTGGGCTACGTTACATCACCTGCTGGCGGCACGATCGGGTCACGGGGACTTCGAGCAATATCACCGACGTTTCAACCACGACGACACTCTAACGATGTGCTCCTGTGGAGAGGCAAAAGACGTGGACCACCTGGTCTACTGACGATTAACGCTGACGAGGAGGCAATGGTGGCCGACCCTCCACTCTCGCAGTACGCCCGAGCCCATAGGCCCTATGGGTTCTCTCGAGGCCTACTTCAAGAGATTAATCACCGACCCACGAGGCTTCGAGGCCTTTCTCGGCGTGACGGATTTCTTCCAGAAGATCTGTCCGCGGTAGCAGCACCCACACCTGCGTAGATGTGAGTGCGAACTACAAAGAACCTCCCGATTCCAAGGGACGATCTAGAAAAGAATGAAATTGGGGCACCAGCGGGAACCGGGGACAGACAGAACGCGTAGTGGCCAGAAGGCATGATTTGGAGGACGATGTAAAGAGACGACGTACTGTAGAGTAGGTAGCCTTGGCTCACGGCCCTCCACGCCATATACCCTTCGGGAGGTCCGCGGTAAGGGCCTAGGTATCTCCGCCACGGCGTTAAATACAACAACAACAACAACAACAACAACAACAACAACTCTCTGTGTACACCAGGTAAGTGCTTCCGCTTGCGATCACCATATTACACAGTGGTGAATGGTGCTGGAATGTTTGGTGCCAAGATGTTCGGTTTGGCTTTTCCAATACGGCCAAATTCCGCGCACTCCACTAGATATTACTCTTTGGCCGCATCGACACCCTGAGTACATTGGATCAACTCGTGGCAACTGCTGTTGAACAGGCTAAACATCCATTGTTGACTGACGCGGAAGACGATGATATCAAGATCGCATCAACCCTCGACAGCGCTCTCCATAGCGCGTTCGAAGAGAGATTGCTCCATTTCCGGTGGATCAAGACACCGCCGCAGG